GCCGGTCCGTAGCGCGTGCGCCCACTGTGCCGCCTTGGCGAGGAGCCCGGCGGCGCGCTCCAGAGGCGGCGTGTGGCGCGAGGGCGGGGCGAGGGTGAAGCACGGGTTGGCGTGGATCGGCACCGGAGAGCGGGGCCCGAGGTAGGCGAGTCGGTACCACAGCGACTCGAGGTACGATGAGTCGTGCGGAAGTGCGGCGTCAGCCTCCTCGAGGAGGCGCTGGAGCCCGGGCCCATCGGTATCGAAGAACTGTGCGACTGCCGCCCGCGTAATTGCGTGCTCCTCCAGCGTCTGCAGCGGCTGTGCTGCTCGCAGGTAGCGCTCGAGCGTCTCGCCGAGCGGCGGGATGGGCAGCCGCGGCACCGAACGCTGGTGTGCTGCGTAGGCCGGCGCGAGGAGCGGTGCGGAGCCGCTGTTTGCAAGCCACCAGCGTTTTGGGGCGGCAGCAGCCGCAGCGCGTTGCAGCATCCCTGTACCCTCTTCCGACCCAGCCCAGGTTCCGACCTCTGGCCGACTCACAGCCTTGTTATTGAGAAGAAAATACGTGCTATCTATGGGGGGAGGAGGAGATGGGGGAGGGGAGTTACCGCGGTACGATAGTGGGCCCACCGGCGAGCCGGAGGGCCGTGGCCGGAGGGCCCCGGGGGGGGCTTGGGGTCAGTTGTCGGAGGAGGCGAGAGATGAGCTGACGCGGCCTCTGAGAGTGGAGTCGGGACGTGCGGGCTCACCGGGGGAAGGCCAGTCGCGGTGGCAACCGGACCACCGCGACCTTCGACAGGGAGGGCCACGCCTCCCCGAGCCTGGAGAGGAGCCGGCGGAGGGGGGTGGCGAGCCGAGGACGATAGAGAGGCCGCGGGTGCGGGCGCGACTCGTCAACCAGGGAGAGCGGGCTCGACCCCCCTGGGAGGGGAGGCGACACGACCCAACGCCGCCGCCCCCGCCCGGGGAGACCTCGGCCGGGCCGTCGACGCCCTCGAAAGCGGTGGAGCCGGGAGAAGCTGGCGGAGATGAAGGGTGGCAGCGGAGGAAGCGACACCAACAACGAAGGCATCTTCGACACGGAGATGGGCTGGACCAAAACCAGTGTCGAAGGCTGGGCGGTG